GACCTAGCCGCAGCCTACTTAGCCTATTATTTTTATTATATTTATTATATTAATTATATTTAATATAATCGATATAATTATTTTATTTATTATATTTAATTTATTTATTATATTTATTATATTAGTTATATTTATTATATTAGTTATATTTCTTATATTTATTATATCTATTATATTTATTATATCTTTATATGTAGTAACTTTTATATAAATAACGTTGTTATTTTCCTTCATTATAAGTTTAGTTCCTTCAGTTCCTTCAGTTCCTATTAGTTCAGATAGTTTTGATTAGTTTTTATTCTTGTAATTATAAAGTTCTATAATAAAGTATAACCTTTTACACAATAAACGAACTCCCTATTTTAAGCGTGTCTTGTTTGATTGGATTTCAGTCATAGTTAAACGTACAATAAATACAATAAATTATTTTTATTAAATTAACATAAATTTTGACAGTGATTTTTAAAAAAAATTTAAAATCTTTTTTTTTATTTATTCACTTGAAAAAGTTTTTTTTGCCGTCATCTGTATCATGTGAATATTATTTAATTATTGTCTATGTTACAACTGTAAAAAAAAAATTTTTTCCCTTTTTTTTCAAAAAAAAAAAAAAATTAAATGCTTTGCTATTGCAAACTAGCTCATATTAAATACTTTTAACTCACTTTTATTACCTGTGTATTGTAAAGTTACAGGTATTTTGTGCAGTTCATACTTCATAGTACATGAGTTTCTAAATTTTTTTATTACTTTCACATATTTGTTTTTTAACTTCAGGTTATAATTTCATCACTTTAGCCAAATGAAATCAACTTTATTTCAGCAGAATTGAAACTACTTGAATATTAATTTTCATAAATGTAGGTATAGTACTTAGAGAAAATTGTATTTTTCTTGATAATATTAACTCTCTTCTCTGTTTTTTAATTTAGAGCATAATATCTCCACTTTAGTCAAATGAAATCAACTTTCTTTATTAATTGAAAGTTGTTCAGGCGGATTGAAACTACTTAAATATTAATTTTCATGAATGTAAGTATAGTACTTGGAGAAAATTGCATTTTTCTTGATAATATTAACTCTTTTCTCTGTTTTTTAATTTAGAGATAATATCTTCACTTTAGTCAAATGAAATCAACTTTCTTTATTAATTGAAAGTTGTTCAGGAGGGTTGAAACTACTTGAATATTAATTTTCATGAAAGTAAGTGTAATACTTGGAGAAAATTATATTTTTCTTGATGATATTAACTCTCTTCTCTGTTTTTAATTTAGAGCGTAATATCTCCACTTTAGTCAAATGAAATCAACTTTCTTTATTATTTAAAATTGTTCAGGCGGGTTAAAACTACTTGAATATTAATTTTCATGAAGGTAAGTGTAATACTTGGAGAAAATTGTATTTTTCTTGATGATATTAACTCTCTTCTCTGTTTTTTAATTTAGAGTGTAATATCTCCACTTTAGTCAAATGAAATCAACTTTCTTTATTAATTGAAAGTTGTTCAGACGGGTTGAAACTACTTGGATATTAATTTTCATGAATGTAAGTGTAATACTTGGAGAAAATTGCATTTTTCTTGATGATATTAACTCTCTTCTCTGTTTTTTAATTTAGAGCGTAATATCTCCACTTTAGTCAAATGAAATCAACTTTCTTTATTAATTGAAAGTTGTTCAGGCAGATTGAAACTACTTAAATATTAATTTTCATGAATGTAAGTATAGTACTTGGAGAAAATTGCATTTTTCTTGATAATATTAACTCTCTTCTCTGTTTTTTAATTTAGAGCATAATATCTCCACTTTAGTCAAATGAAATCAACTTTCTTTATTAATTGAAATTATTCAGGCGGACTGAAACTACTTGAATATTAATTTTCATTAGATTTCATTTTTTTTGTAGCTGTATTACACTTATTATAACTTATGTGATTATTTTAAATAATAAATTAATTTATATTATTGGTTAAATTATAATCACATGATACTAGGGATTTGTTTTATTTTTAAATTTGATTTTTAAATTTAATAAATTTAATAAAATATTATTATTTAAAATCAAATTCATATAAATGCAAATAATATTAAAAATTGTAATCTAAGCAGTAAATTCATTGACCATCATAAATTTTATGCTCAAATTATATAAGTTCTATGATCAAATCAATATATGTTTACTTGTATAAATAATAAAATAATATTCAATTATTGTTTATCTATTAATTTTTTTTTGTACAATATGTATTTTTATTTAATAAAAAAAATTATTTTATTTTATTATTTTTTATTTTATACAATTATTAAAACAATGATAAAAATTTGCAAATATTTTAAATATTTTCATTTAAAAATTTATTAGCTAACCAACAAAATCCCAAAACAATTACTAAACAATTTATTACATACTTGTCAAATTTAACTTTTAGACAATCAAACAATTTTATTATATTGTATAATAATAAAATACAAAGTATAATTTTACATAAACATTTCATATGTTAAAAAATTTCCAAAAAAAAATTACCATAAAATTTAAATATTTTCACATATAACAAAATAAAATTTCCCAATTATTTTCAATAAACAAAACTTATATAAGGGTCATTAAAAAATTTTGTATTATTTTTTTGGAGTTTGCTATTTATCGCCGGTGTCACGTGATTTTTTAATTTTGGCCGGAATTAAATGATCTACATAGAAATTGCCTTTTTTGGAATATTGTGTATCCCGTTTTCCCGATTTTTATGAGAAACAAAATTGCCTTTTTTGGATTGTGTAACGTAACTCAAGATTCCAAAAAGGATATTTTGGCCGGAATTATAAAATTTGGCTGGAATTATTGGGTGTGTCGAATAATGGTGACAAATAGGATTTTTTATACCAAAAAAATTCGAGTCCCTGGAATACATAGTAAAAACGGAAACAAGGAGGGTGTGACGCGGGGTGACAAATTATACATTATTAAAAATCACGTGACACCGGCGATTCATAGCTAGTGCTTCGATCCGGATGAAATCCGTCATCCGGATTACACAAAAAAAAAATCCGGATTATATCCGGTTTGATCCGGATTGAAATCCGGGTCAGAAATCCGGGTGAAATCCGGAATCCGGATCAGATTTCATATATAAAATTTTTTAGATTGCATATGACGATCCATATTAGAGATAATGGTACTTATTAATACAATTTGGTAGGTTTTTTTAAATTTTGTAGCCTTTTTTCCGATTTGATTATTGAATTTGAATTAGCTTATTTTATCGTAATTCGGGCCGGCACTATTAATTTGGCCTGAGTTACAAATTTTATTCAAATTTTGATAAAATCAGGCTTAAAAAACAATATCGCTTCTTAAATTATGATTTTACTTAATAAGATTAATAAAAATATAAAAATAATTTTCACTTTAATTATATTAAATAAATTAATAATAAATAAATAATTTTTTACTAATCATCAATTTATCGTTGTTCATGACAAAATTTATATATTACAAAATTATTTATTGCGAAACTAATAGACTATTTATTTATTAC